GGGGGGAAGGGGGAGGAAAGGTGAAGGAAATCTTTCCACACAAATTCCAGGAGGCGATTAAGTGATTTTGTTACGGAAGATGGTACGGAAGATGGAAGATGGAAGATCCCACTTCCATTGGGAATTCGCGTTTTTGCGACTCCAAACGCAACGGTTAAGCGGAATCCGTCGTCAGAAACCGCTGCTCTTCCTTCGAGGAAAAACTGGGAGAGGAAAACGAGAGAGATGACGTCACGGGGAAGGAATTGCACCCGTGACGTCATCGGCTTCACTTTCCTCTCCATGCGCCTCCTTTTTCGGAAATAATTTTCGGAAAATTAGGTTAATTAGGTGATTAGGTAATTAGGTGACTCAGGTTAAAGCCAGAATTGAAAAAAAAAGAGTCTCCCTTCAAAGCCGCTCGTTTAGTTTCGTGGGCGAAAGGCCGCGAAAAATTGTCGAGGTCTTTGGATTCTTCAGGTATGCACAATTTGATTAATTTCTTTTCAAATTGGTTAAATTGGATCACCATTTAAAACTTTAAAATGGTAAACCGATCCCCAACTGCTCAGATGCTTCAGATGTTGTCGTTTTGTTGGGAGTTTTCATTGCTGTTGGTATTTAAGATTACGCTAGGAATTTTTATTTATTAAGTTTGCCCTTATCAAAAAATTATGATCGTGAACATGTGAGCATGGGCATGAGCATGGACATGGGGATGAGCATGAGCATGAGCACGGGTATGAGTATGAACCACGTGCTATTAATCAACCGATATTTTGGAGATAGTTTAATGTTTTCACTCAAAATTTCCCACTTATTTTTAAAATTTTCCAGGATCTTCAGCGAAGACATTCCAAATGTTGATTTATTATTTCAGACAATTTTAGGAATTCTCCTTTGCTCTGGACTGATTGCTGCGAAATATTCATCTCAAGTCTTCTTCGTCGTTGATTTTCAACTGCAAACAATTTTCACACGTTTCTAAGGAAGAAACTTCCTGCAATTTCACAGCCGAGCACATCGCTGCGCCACGTATCTCCCAAGTAAAAAAAAAGAAAAAAAATGAGGAAATATTTCCGTGTTCCTGCTGGCGACGAAGCGTGCTCGAACCGCTCGCGACAGGCGAAGCAGCGAATCCAGCCGCGCCACGTCTCCACGGCGGCAGCCTCGGCGTTCTCCCCCTCCCTCCGCCTTCACTCCCTCGCCGTCTCTCCACCGTGTGACAGTCCGCATCTTTCGTCTCCGGACGTACTTCAGCTGACCTCGACGAACCGTAAAGGTGAATCTCTTGTTTTTGGGGGGGTTAGGGGAGGGGGGGGGAATGCGGCTAGTCTTTGGATTACAAAAGGAAGCCGAAGACGATAAACTTTACCGGGATTCGTTATGGATACCGCGAAAACAAAGTTTCGCACGTCTCAAGTGATTCCAGTTTTAAAATGTCATTTTCTCCAAAAGTGACTGGGGCGGGAGGGAGATGAGCATTTTGAGATCTACCACGAAAAGACTGGAACTCATGTGAAACGAAACGTTTATCATTTCGCAATCAATATGAATCAGGTTCAACCTATTTGGCAGATACCAATCGCGTTTCTATGCAAAAAGACCAGAGTTTAAAAAGAAGGGAACCTTGCAAGGGATATTCCTTCGTCTCCATGGTATTTCGAGAGTGTGGGGTCGCTCGTTGGCCATTGACATCCAATCGACTAATGATTCGTCGACGCCTTTCATACCTTTAACTTCCTAAGACCTTAGGGGGTCTTAGAAGGATCAAATGCCTTAATTTATGGGCTTTAATAACTCTGGACCCGAGGAGGTTCAAGGTGAACCAGTGACGAGAATCAACTATGATGAGTGAATTTACGACGTTTCGGGAACTTTTTTCAAGCCGTGATTTTTTTAATTTGTCTGGATTTCAGAGGTGACCGGAAACCGATCCCGTCGAGAATGAAGGGCGCCATAATCGTTGGACTCCTGCTGTCGGGGATCCTCGTCCCCGCTCTGGGTCAGAGCAACAACGCCGTGACCGACTTTTTCCGGACGGCCCAGACCGTCGTCGGGGGGGCGTTCGAATTCCTCGAACGCTACGGCTTCGACCGCAGGAACCCCGAGACCGGCACCGCGAACCTTCGGGCCACGCTCCAGGACTTCCTCCGCTGCTCCCCGTGTCCGGGCTCGACCGGGTCCACCGTCCGTCGCGACGATCCCCTCGCCATCGGCGTCAGCGCCGGCCAGTGCCTCACCGGCTCTCGCTACGCCTGCTGCAACTGCCTCGTCGACTCCGCCTCCCACCTCGTCGTCGAGAACACCACCCCCCTCCTCGATTCTTGGATCCGCCAGGCCCTCGCCTACGTGACCACCTCGGCTTTTCAGATGGCAGGCAATCGCGACGGCGCTCGCGAAGAGTGAGATCGCTTGGAGAAACCTCGAGTCCCGAATAAAGGCCTACTAGGTTGCAGAGAGTCCGATTCGTTCTTCACTCTTCTTCGATGCTCTCGACGCGTTTCGATGAGAATGCTTTTCGTGCTTTTCCGGCTGGTTTGCACGTTGTAAAAAAAAAAATTAATTCTCTTCTGTATTCAAATCACTTAGGATTAAAATGACGTATGGGAGAGAATCGTCGACATGAAAAAATCAGAGTAGAAGTTTTAAGATTTCCCCCATTTAAAATGTGAGATCTCAAAAAGGTGATGAGATTTTTGCAACGTCGCTGCTGCTGAGAGCGGTGGCTAATTGGGAATTCCAGGATACGGTGGGCATCGGGCAGAATCATCGTTCGTCGCACCGTCATGACATTTTCTTTTTCGCTTGAGGGGGGGGGGGGGGGGGATA